AGGGGGTACTGGAAAAGAAGTCTACCTAGCCATGAAACAAAAGACGTACGATCTTTTTGGTAATCTTATTCATACTCTTATAAAAAAGCGTTTACTCTTGACTATCAAAAAGGTTGCTGACGGCTGCTTTTAGGCCATCATGTCAGTCAAAACGGCATTCTCGAAGTTTTTTCTTTTTAAAGGGAGAAAAGTCAGGCGTAACCAAATCACAATTTGTGCAAAAAGGTCAGAATCGTTTGACACAGTTTACGTAGGCCTTTTTGTAATTCCCAATGCTTGTTTAGGTGTCAACAGTTCTGGAACCTACCTGGATTACTAATCTTCAAATTGTCCTGCAAGATGGTTATGTCGCTGGGCTCCAATAAACTCATGCCATACCAATGGTAGGGACCTCCACATGAAGGTCTTCGTGAACCATGGCTTCAACCTTCTGAGTCATTTGTTCATTTTTTGCTGGTTTGGGTCTTCTACCCCAGGGATCGTTTTCTATGGATTCACCGCCCCATCAGAGCTCTTTCGTCCGAAATTTCATTGTGTGATATAATGGTGCATCCTCCTCATAGACGGCAACCATTCTCTCAAGAATTATTTTCGGCTGTTGAAACCATTTGTCTGGAAACTTAAAACAATGCGATACTCTAATTTTAAGTTACTCATTTCCCTTCACATTTCACTTTATCAATTGAAAAATGATTATCGATACTAACACAAAGCATGGCACTGGAATTGTTTTGTCAATTTACGTCCTGTTATGGGTATTCCACAAAATCAATTACTTGTTTTGTGTACCACGCTCAAGGCTTTGCCACTTATGGCGTATTTATATATATTCATCTGATATTATAAACTTTTTCCAGAGTGTGGTATTTTTTTATATAATGGTGAACGAATATTTGAATTTTTATCGACATACAATAAACATATTGGTTCAGAGGTTCCCCAAGGATTGCTCAAAGTTATGTGAATATAACATACACTGTATATTACTGTGACACTGTTCATCGCAATGCAATTTTGCATTATTTGAATGATGAAAATAGTTCATTGTTAAGCACATTGTTATGTAGTCATTTCTTTTATTTCAGATAAATGTTCCCATCACTACACCACCATCACTATCACAACTTTTCCATCTAGTCGCGATGTTGCGAAATCCTGGGTAATTATATACCTTGATTGGGGATGTCAAACTCTTACTTATACACTAGCGGAAAAATGTACGGGATTGTCATGAATATGTGATTTGGAGGAATGGCCGGCAGGTCTTCCTGTACTAAATCTACGTCGTGCGCTACGATAGCGTTAGCTAAAGACACTTTTTTGAAGAATGCCTTCACAAAAATTCTTCGGTTATTGTTTTTCCTAAATTATACAGGATGTCACGAAAAAAGTGTGCAATATTCTACCAGCGTTTTCTAGACCTTAAAATAGGAAAAACAGTTTATATAAACCTAGGTCGACAAACGTCCCCTAAGGACGCTACGGTCTTTCAAAGAAGATGGTTTTTCCTTAATATTTCCGAAATGTGTTGAGATGAAGACATAAAATTTGCTAATCTAGCCTGGTTTTTTATGCTGGATTTAAAAATATTAACAATTTTAGACAGTTTTGTTTGGAAGCGTATGTAACAAGGACGGACTCAGGTTATTTTAGCCCAAAAATTTTTGTGTGATTCTATTTTTGAAATTCAATTTTAGAATTTGAAAATTTAGGGTTTTCTACATTAAAGGGCACTCTTATTGAATATCGATAAACTGTGTCATTTTTGAATAAAATCAAACTAAAAAGTTTGTCACAAGATAGGAAATGTACTGCGAATTTAAATGAATTGTTGATTATACACAGTTCGCCATGACTGCAAACAAAAGTTGTTTTGATTTGCTATAACTTATTTTGACCTTAAGCTGACATTGTTAGCAGTGTAAAATTACCAGATTGAAATCAATTTCAATGCCAAGATTTACAGACAGAGAACTGACTGACATGCATTTTCTCCACGGGTTTTGCAGTGGCAGTTCATTGGCAGCCGTAAGAGAATATCAAAGAAGATTTTCCAATCGCATAGTACCTGTACGTCGAATTTTTACTGATATTCACCGGAATTTGTCAAACCATGGATGTTTTCAGCGCATGCAGGGCTCAGGAAGGCCACTGGGAAATCATCGTATTGATATTGCTTTAAATATGTTTGAAAAGAATCCGCAAGTAAGCATACGAAATGTTTCAGAAATTATGGATATACCTCGATCAATAGTAAGAAAAATTTATGAATACCTATTTGACAGTTATCCTAAAAATAATAATTTTAGATAGGAAGAATGACAAGAATGCAAGGATTACATCCTTATCATTTTAAACGGTGTAGCATATAACGGAGGCAGATTTTTTACCACGAATCGAGTTTTGCCAGTGGATATTAGCAAATGAAAATACTATTCCTAGAATATTATGGTCGGATGAGTCAATATTTACTAGAAATGGTGCTTTTAATTTCCATAACATGCATCACTGGTCAGATGAAAATCCAAAAGTTGTTCGCCGTACAAATTTCCAACATAGATTTTCATTGAACTTATGGGCAGGAGTAATTGGGGATCAAATAATTGGGCCTATTGTACTTCCCAATCGTCGTAATTCAGAGGTGTATCTGAACTTTCTTCAGAATGAGCTCATGGATATAATACCATTGGATGTGCACCAGCAGTTTCAAGAAAATATGTTTTTTCAACATGATGGCACCCCTGCACATTTTGGACGCCACGTTCACCTGACCTGAACCCATTGGATTTCTAGTTTTGAGGGGTCATTAAAAGACCTAGTTTACTCGAATGAAGTAAATGCTCAAGAAGATTTACTTCAAAGAATCCATCAGGCTGCAAATGAAATAAAAAGAAAAAGGTTTTCCACTTTTCGGGCTACGCAATCATTAGTTCGTTGAGCGAGACTCTGTAGCCAACAAAATGGGTATTTATTTGAACACTTATTGTAAGCTAGTTTTAAGTATATCCAACTGTATTTCTTCTTTTTCAAACAAATTTCAATTTCGTTCGTAGAAAAAATTTATTTCTTTTGTTTTTGCCTAAATGTTAGCTATGTTGCAATAGAAATATGCATTTACAGGTATGTAATATTTACCAATTATTAAATTAGTTTTTTCGTTGCCTTGGCTAATTATTCATTTAAATTCGCAGTACATTTCCTATCATGTGACAAACTCTTTAGTGTAGGGTAGACTGGGTACGGTTGAAACGGTGGACGGTTGAAACAAAGCGAATATCTCGCGAGCCTTTCATGGTGGGGGACGAAAACAGAAGAAGATCGGAGCAGACGACAAGTCGAAACACGAATTTCAGTATTATTTTGCTCTTCGCGCGCTGTGCTTGTGTGTAGGGGACACCATTGTGTTTTTTGGCGGTAAAGTAAGTATTTTTGTTCGTACATTTTTGCAATTATTATCGTTTTGATTAAAGCTAAAGTATTGAGCATTTTGTATCGTTGCAATTGAAGTTTGTAGAATATGGTAGTATGATGAGTTTTTATTCAAATTTATTATCATTCCTATTGTGAGCCGTTTTATACCTAGAAGGGGGGATGGGGACAGTTGAAACATTTTTTGTGGGTACGGTTGAAACAGCTTATTTATTTGATTGTCTTGTTTTTTAGATGCCAAGGGTACGCCAAAGGAAGACTACGAGAGGCCAGGCTGACTTATCGACTTATAAACAAGCTTATGAAGATGTGAAAGCGGGATCTTCTTTAAGAACAGCGGCAGAAAAGAATGGGCTGAACCACTGTTCCCTGTTTAGATACGTACGTAAACGAGATGCGGCTGGTGGTGATGAAAATCAAGAAGTGGGATATAAGGCTCACAATCGAGTGTTTAACCAAGAACAAGAACGTGAGCTTTCTAATTATTTAACTAGATGTGCAGATATCTATTTTGGCCTAACTAAAAAGGATGTCAGGAAATTGGCATACGAACTAACAATCAAGTACGACTTATCACGACCTCGGACATGGGATGACAACGAAATGGCTGGCGACGAATGGTTTCGAATGTTTATGAGAAGAAATTCCGGACTTTCAGTACGTGTAGCACAGGCTACAAGTCTTTCTAGGGCGACTAGCTTTAATAGAAATAATGTAGATGCTTTTTACGACAATTTGAGTACTGTTATGGACCGTTATAAGTTTGAGCCACAAAATATATATAATGTTGATGAGACTGGCATCACTACTGTGCAAAAACCCGACAGAGTAATAGCTAGACGTGGTGCTCGCCAAGTAGGTTCAGTGACTTCAGGTGAGAGGGGTACTTTAGTCACAGTTGCCTTTGCAGTTAATGCCATCGGAAATGCTATTCCTCCATTCTTCGTCTTTCCGCGAGTGCGATATCAAGACCACTTTATCAGGGATGGACCAATAGGATCTGCTGGCAGTGCAAATCCTTCTGGCTGGATGCAGGATGAAACATTTATTCATTTCCTGGAACACTTCAAGAAACATACAAATGCTTCTTCTTCACATAAAGTCTTACTTGTACTTGATAACCACTCTTCACATATTCATATTAATGCTCTAGACTTTTGCAAGACGAATGGCATTGTGGTGCTATCGTTCCCTCCCCACTGCTCACATAAACTCCAACCGCTTGATAGATCTGTATTCGGTCCGCTGAAAAAAGCTATAAATTCGACCTGTGATGGATGGATGCGAAGTCATCCCGGCAAGACAATGTCAATATACGACATCCCAGGGATTTTAGGTATTGCTATGCCGCTTGCTCTTACACAATCCAACATTCAAGCTGGTTTTCGCACAACTGGGATTGTTCCATTTAATCGGCATTTGTTTAGTGAACTCGATTTTGCACCTGCATTTGTGACAGACAGACCAAATCCTCTAAATACGAATACAAATGAGGCAGCTGATGGCCATATTCAGAATACTTACACACCTGAGGATAAAACACCAACACCATCACCTTCTGAACTACCAAAATGTCGGAGGAGCTTTCTAATACAGCTCTTTCTGTACAACAACTGACTGCAAATATGTCACAGTGTTCACAAGTCCCAGACAGACAACAGGAAAATATTACTGCAGATCCAGAACCTTTGATTACATTACCCGGACATCAAAGTACTGATATTGTTCAGCAAATTTCACCAAAACCCTCTACAAGTTCTCAATCCATTCCTGTCTTGTCAAATCAAACGAAAAATATCCCGTCTCCGAGTACAACACTTTTGTTTTCACCGGAAGCAGTACGACCACTACCAAAAGCTCCTCCAAGGAAATCAACAAACAGGGGGCGAAAAACCAGAAAATCCACAATATACACCGATACACCTGAGAAAGAAGAGATAAGAAGAGAACATGAAAACAGATTGAAACGAACCAAAGCTAAGCAAGTTAAGAAAAGATTAGATGGAGAGGAAAAGACGAAAAGAAATGTTAGAAACAGAAAAAAAAATATCACGCAAGATGAATCATCAGAAGAAGAGGAATACTACTGTCTTGTTTGTGTGTCAGCATATTCAGAAAGCAGACCGAGGGAAAAGTGGATACAATGCACAGAATGTAAAATGTGGGCGCATGAAGAGTGCACAAAAGGTAGTCTTATTTATATTTGCCATAATTGTGATTCTGAATGATCTCATAACCACTTTAATATTTTTGTTTAAAATATGGATTTTTATAGAAATAATAAGTCTTTATTTTTTTCTTAAATAGGATTTTTCTTAAATAAGGATAAGTTTTTGTTTTAAACTGTTTATTTTTATTCTCTAACAAAAAGTATTGTTGTTTTGTCATTTGTTAATCTATTCATCGAAAAGTATATCTTTTGAAGTTTTACTGTTAGTCTGTAAGTATCGTCAAAGACTTGAATATTATTGAAAATATATTTTTGATGTTTAACTGTGCCATTACGAGTCGTAAAATATTATTAGATGATTAATAAAACATCCTTATTTACTATACTTCGTATTATTTGTATGTGTTTCAATTGACCCCAGGCACTGTTTCAACCGACCCTGGCATGGGGACGGTTGAAACAAATTACATTTGTTTTTTAATTTAATGTTACAGATAAAATACAAAACAGTGATCTCAAATATCATTGCCTATTAGTAAACAAATATATGGTCTTTTATTTATCATATTTCCGATATCGCTCGCTCAGCTAATCCCGATGCTATGGACAATAAACGCTAAAATGTTTCAACCGTACCCAGTCTACCCTAATTTTATTCAAAAATAGCAAAATTTATCGATATTCAATAAGAGTATCTTTTTTATGTAGAAAACCCTAAATTTTCAAATTCTAAAATTATATTTCAAAAATAGAATCACACAAAAATTTTGGGACTCAAATAACCTGTGTCAGTCCCTGTTACATACGCTTCCAAACAAAACTGTCTAAAATTGTTAACATTTTTAAATCCAGCATAGAAAACTAGGCTAGAATACCAAATTTTATGTCTTTATCTCAACAAGATTCGGAAATATTAAGGAAAAACCATCATCAGGGGAGCCCCTCTAAAAGACCGTAGCGCCCTTAGGGGACGTTTGTCGACCTATGTTTATATAAACTATTCTTCCTATTTTAGGCTCTAGAAACCGCTGGTAGAATATTGCATACTTTTTCCGGGACACCCTGTAGTTATAATGTATTTACTTTTTGTATGTATGTTCTTAAAGAATTATTTAAAGTGAAGCTGATGTCACAAAATATACCTAATTAAATGTGATATATGTGAGAAATGACCAAAAGAAGTAGCTATCGCCACTCACTAAATAATGAAAACGTAAGAAAGAAAGAACATTGCAAGTTTTTTGATGATTTGATGAAATGGTCGTTGATGTTTATTTAACTATAATGTTGGACGATGGTGTATTGGGTGGAACTGGCGACGTGGTTTAAATTGACAAATAGAAGTTGGGTATTTTTATAAGCAATGTCGACTGTTGATTTTTCTGTTTTTTATATCACGCGAGCCGCTGGTGCATTTTCCACTGTTTAGACACATACTGTTCATCTAATTTTCAGTTAATATTGGGAAAATTTTTACAAAACAACCTCGTTTTGTTATTACGCATTTCTCCCAAAAAAGTAAAACTTGGCAACAATGGACATCATTTATCGTGTCTTATAAGAAACGAACGGTATAAAATGGCCATTGTGAATTGTTTGTACTTTCAAATATTTCTTATAAACGCAAAAACTTTGATGTCATTGAACATAGGCGAAAAAAATTGTAAAGGAATTTCGAGACGACATTTAAAGATCACAACACAACACATCTACACAGTTTACCAAGTAAATACCATCATTTAGGAATGTATTTTGAACTGTTATTTTAGCTAATAAGGTAATGCGTAATAACCGGCTGGTTTTAAACGTTATTTGCAGAAAACAGCGATTTTACAGTTTCACATCTATTCTCCTCAGTATTATACAGTGTATGTTATATTCTTATAATTTAGAGCTTCCGTTTATGCAAAAGGCAAAAAGCGTGTAAAACAGTACTCTAGAGAATTACCACCAAAAGTGCAACTTTGAAGTTCTAGAAAATAGCAAGCGGAGGGTTCCTTAGAGAAAAAAATGATATTTTCGTAAAAGTTACATCCTAATATTTCATTTAAATAAGAAATGAAGTATTTGCGATATTCGCTAAAGTATAGTCGTACCTTAGATTAGATTAAGATTACTCACTGGTGTGGCAATCTGGATGTCCTTTCTTTTGATATTAGATCAGTCGGAAAGTCGTGCTTATTTCTCATACTGGTAGATTGCTGCTTCCTTTCCGCACGGGTATTACGTATCTTGTAAATTGACGTTATATAATTTTTTTGAAAATATACTGTCTTTTTTTAGGTTAGTTGTATTATGTAGGTTTTTCTACAAGATGTTAACTTAGCACTGAGTTGTACGTGTTGCCTAAACGTCATGAGACTTCAGTTATCAATGTTTGGCTCTAATCTGATGTAAAATCTGCTTCAGAGATGGTATTTCTGGAGGTATAAGCTGTAAGTTGTTAGTGTTGATGATAATTCCATTGGATTCTTGTCTCAAATACACTTACTTGAGATTCAAAGCTAGAAATTAGTTGCGCATCCACTTTTTCTTATCCATTCTGGAAATTACATAATCAAATTTGCTGAATTTCAAAAACGAGCGAGATGGGAAATAATTATATCCACTGTACACAGTTGAAATACAAGCTAGATCTACACATACTAACAGTAATTACACACAACGCGGGCGCGGTGGTGATTTCCCGTGATTCTCCTCAAAGTTTTTCGTAATTTATAACTTTGAACATAATCTCTCTTCAGAAAGCACAACACAAATAACTCGTCGGGCACAGCTAATAGATATACTTCATTGGCAGCATATTCATTAATTATTTTCTCACACAGCAAATATCACAGATAAAAACTACATAAAACTCGGCTTCACAAAACATATGCAACCAACAATGTGTGTAGTTTAGTTGAGTCATTCCTCCATAGATGGACGCTCACAACGATCGTAGTGAGCAAACGTGGAATGACTGTTTGCACCCTAAAGACTACCTAGTCTGCATGATGACATTTTATAGGTGTCTGTTTAGGTTTTATAGGTTTCTTAGATAAAACGCGTGCCGAAGCCATAAAAAAGCAGGAGTACGCCTTTCAGGGTACATATGGAACTCCCTGTTTGTGCGTCTAGAGGTCAATTCAATTCATAAGCCGCTCATCATAAAGGTTTTTTCGGTCGCTAAGCTTGAATCCAATGACAATTTGTGTCTATGACAACAGTTGAAGATTATTTCATGGTCACATCAAGGACAAATCTACAGCAGCTGGGCAGTCGGGTTCAACCACAGGTTATACCTGTTCTTGGATCCGGTAATTCCATGTCACTCAGTTCCGTCGGTCTATTTGTCTGGATGTCTGTCTGTCTGTCGGTCTATTTGCCTGTCCGCTAACCCCTGACTACTTTATCACTTGAAAAGTCGGACTTTGGAGAAATGTTGAAACAAAGTTTTTCTATGCCAAGAACAAAAAAGCTTTTCAATTAATGGGAGAATACGGAACAAATAAAAAAAAACGACCCAACTTTTTTGGGTCTTGAACATTTGATGAAAAAAGACTGTAGGGGTCAAATATTGGTTATTGCAGGGGGCGGGGTACGTTTATCTGTATTAGTATTAGTACATATTTCACGCACCAACGGTTCTCCCTTACATTCACCCTTAAACATGTGCTGACGCTGACTTGTGATATGACTGAGTGGTGTGATTCAGCAACCTTGCCAGATGAAATATGGGTAGACTAATTGTTTGGGACTGCTTGACTGACTTGATCCGTTGAATTTTTCTGTTATACATGTTCGTAGCTAACAGGATCTAACTGGTGCTGGACATAATACTCTATGAACTGATCATAGGTTGTTTAAGAAGTGTAAGATCAACCTACTTGACGCCATTTTTCCTTCTGAAGCTGATGATTTTGTGTTTTTCCGCTGTCCTCTAGATGAATGCATTTAGACGAAATGTCGGCATCGTCCGGTCGGACTCGGAGATCCTCACAGATAATAGAAGCGAATTTTCCACTTCTTTTGTCGGTTCCCTTTCATAAATTCAATTCTTGTCGGCCAAGAGTTTGGCCACGGCTGCATCGCTATCACAGCATATTCAATTTTATTCAGCAAGCAAACTTGATATTAGGTATCAGGAGGTATCATCAATTCAGCCATGTTTATAAGGAAAACGGTAAATTGATTCGAAAAAAAAATTCGCATGACAGACGGCTTGCGCCACCGAGTGCACTTAAACTCGCTCAGCAATTCGCTGCCAGAATACACTTCCTTACCTCTGGCCAGCCGCGATTAAACCGCTCTGCTACAACTCGGCTGTGCTCTCCTCGAGAGAAGCAGCTCACAGGCACGGTTTGCAGAAGACGATTATAAAAGCTTTGCTTTATGAGACAATTCGATATTAGGCTGCAATCAAGTGGGACATATATCTTTATGCTGCGTGAAATCTTGCTATTAGGAGTTATATTCTTAATACAACTGTTAGCGAATCAATTGTAAGTTGATGTGTTTTCTGGTGTAATCTCACGGCATGGTGGATACATTCGGACAAGCTATAGCTGAGCGGTTGCATCGCGGCTGACCATAACCTATGGCGCCAGTTCGCTATTTGGATTTTAGTAAGATGTCCAAAGTCATCGCATAATATGCATCCGTCTCATCGTGCAAAGCATCTCGCCACGCAATGTGGTCTAGTTCACTATTTTTCGCGAAAAAAGTCCAAAATTAAAGTATTTCTTTGATGATATTTAGCGAGGGAACACGAGACCATGTGACATGCAAACTTTCTGCACTAGGCTTATAGATCCGCCCTATGATACCTACGCTTTTGACAGTCCGACAACATCTACCACTTACGGACAATCACAACATCCACAGCAAACAACAAAATTTTGTTGGGACGGGATTCGGATCCGCGCAGGTCACGGCGACTAATTAGTAGGCACATAGCGTCTAGCATACTCCACTACGCTCCTTGGCCGTTTTAATAATTCCAAAATATGTAAGTATATTGCAAACTAATAACAAATGTGTTAATATAGGATAGGGTAAATCAGGGTGATATGGTGAATCGGGTTAAACGGTGAATTGCTCTATTTCTTCACCGGGAGCATAGATGTCGTTGTAAGTCGACGAGACGATAGTTTATTATCCTATGTGTTCCGTGCACCTGATGAAAACAACTATTGTTTTAAAAATCGTAAGTTATGTGTAAAAGACTGTTATTGGTGCTCAATAATTTTATACGAGGTATTTTTTTAATATTATCTGCTTTCTTAGACCGTTTATATGGTACATGTCCTAGAAATCATTGCTTTCAATATTCTGAACTCTTCGTCACGCTATTCACCATTTCACCCATGGCAAATGGGAGAAATGGTGGATTCGAGCATGGGTGATTCGGCGAGGACTTTTTCTTGAAATCCGAAATAGGTTTTTCCAGTGCTTGAGTTTATAACGTAATCCTTTGCCTCACAACAACTGGGCTGCTCGCAATGCACGGAAAAGCCGCAGAGAAACATGGATTTATCATCAGAACCGTCAGCTCTGGCTTCAACATTGGTAACAGAAAAGCCGGTACCTTAATTAGATAAAATTACATTTGTAAAGAAGAATTCCAGAGCTTTAGCGGAGGTTTTGAATTCCCCACCTAACATCGCCAACCTACGGAACAGAAAACGACAAAAGAAAACAACTGAGTCAGTGAAAATGTGAAAAGGAAAGCCAAAGAAAGAACCGCAACCAAATATACTATAATCGAACAATTCAAAAAACGAAAACCTTCTACCACTGAAACCGGATGCGACTCATCGCAAGATGTCCTCGTGGATTGGATCAGGTGTATTAGCTGCCAACGATGGCTGCATGAAGACTTCAAAATACGAATCCACGTGTGTTATATGTGGTAAAAAGCAAAAAAGTAAACACACCAATTCACCCAATATGCATTCACCATTTCACCCATATGCTTGGGTGAAATGGCGATTTTATTAAAAATAATTAATGTGTTTTTTTACTTTAGTAATGCGTTAAAGAGTATATGATACTGATATGTTGTTGCCAACATATTTTGTGGAAAATGAGTGACCTTATTTTCTTTAAATAATCATTTTCTTGTGTTTTACACGGCTCAATTTTTCTGTTCACCATATCACCCTGACTTACCCTAGACATGACCCAATCAGTTTAAGCAGCCTCACTTACTTCACCTGCTATTCCATATTGAAACGTAGTTCGTTATCAAAACGTTTTCATTTTTTTGTTGTCGTTTGTATCAATTGTCATCCAGTTAAGCCGTTGTACTGATATTGTGTTCAGTGGCTTGCCTTTATCATAATTGCTACCAATTTTATTGAGTATTTGCTTCGTTTTAAGTGTAGAGTTGTCACAACGGCAATAATAAAAACATTTCCAGTCTTTGTCGACAAATCAAAGTTTAAGCATCCTGCCAGGTGTTTGGAGGATTTGAAGTTGACTTTTTTTTCAATATTTTAGAGCACACCAAGAGAAGTGTCTTTACCTGGCCTGTTTTTATTTTTAATATTGAAGTTCATTGAAGTTATTTCGAAAAATGGCTTCTATTTGAGCGTCCAACAAAAGATATGACTTGTAATGAGTTTTGAGAATAATGACATTTCCAATCCACAGTGTCGTACTCACAACCATGCTAAAGATGTAAATTTTGAGGCCGAACTGGAATTTAGGAGAGGACGCGGACGTGACAACGTGTAAATACTATAATAAATATATTTTCATGATAATTTAATTCACTTGAACAATTTTATTCAATATAAATATTTTTTGTACTGAGGAGCGACCGCTCATTTTAACTTCGCTTGTCAGACAGCGTCAGCATAGAACAAGCTTGTTCATGGCAGCATCTTGCAGTGTGTGCCAAGCTTCAAAGGTAAAAAAAAATTGCGTAATATTCAGGAAGTTCCATTGCTGTAGGGTATTGTATAACGTGGAAGAGCGCTATATTCCAAAACCTGGTTGTCCTGTTCCTTTATAGCTGAGTGCCACCAGATTAGCATTTTCACTAAAGGACACTGTCATAAATAAAAGCATTTCATGAGAAGATCTCGATATTTTTCAAAATTTAAGTGAAGATGACCTACATAAATGACACGAAATTCCCCCTCAGTTTGTACGACCATCCGACCAACACATTCTTCCTACATTTTAAAGTCAACCTTGACACTTATTTTTTTCGGTATGATGTCTTAGATTAATCCCAGGTCTCAATCAGCTGCTCTCGTATGCATAATTGCATCGCGTGGTACCCTAAGAGAGATGGACGGCTGACTTATCCTCTTACTGTAAGGTACGTGTTGCAATTTATGATTTTTCTTGCCCATAACATCAACATTGACGTTCTCAGAGGTGCGTTTCAGGCTTTAGGTCTGCCAGATGGACCTAGCCGGGGTTTTTTTACCTACTCCATCTGACAAAATTAGTATAAATTAAGTATGAACCAACACAAATCAAAATTTTACTTGTATATTCCTTCGAAGCCCCTCCCCCAATACATTTTGCCTGTAATGTCCTACTGCTTTCAAATTCTACCTACTATATACGTAGTCCACATTTTCCCCGTTAATGGTAAACACAGCATGTGTTACAGATTGCTATGTCTAAAGTCTTTGGCACCCTTTATAGTGTACAATATTCATCCATGTTTTAATAACTGCAATTAAACCAACTTCCTTTCATCATCTTATTCTTCGGTGTCCTTCATTATAGAGTGCAGATCTCTCTTCTGGCAGCAAATCAAATGGCGGAGCACTAGCCATCACCAGCAATGCATCTATAGGCTACGCGCAGCACCATGTCCGTATTGTCTAACATATCCATCTTGTTAACTTAGGTCTAAGGTAACTGCGGTAGCTGTCTTGGAGAGAGAGGGACAATACGTATACGCTTGCCATTCAAGACAAACAACTGACGATGTCTTTAGGGACGTTCCGGCGGTGTTGAGTTGCAGCCTTTACTGCCGCCGATCTCGGCTCTAATTGGATTTATTTGGCCGACGTAACGACCAGTTAAAACTGACAGATGCAGATTAGGCGACGCGCGAGTGCAATTTGAACCGAAGTACCCTGAATAATAATAGTAGGATCACTCAACTCTCAAACTGGTTTCCTCCTGTATTCACTTTCCTGTAAAATAAAGTCCTTTATTATTATCAAATTGACTTCCCCGAATATCTGACTGCAAAACGTAAAAAAGAAAACTGGCCCCGAGATGTGAAAGACAAAACAAACTCCTTTATGGGTCCGTAATGATCCGATAAGGTTCGATCAAAAAATGCATGACCCTACACCTGCCACTTAAACGTAAAACAGGAGACCTGAAGTCTCACACATCAAGGTGATATTATTATATTGTCTTTGCCGTATGTCGATTCCTAAAATTCGTATTGAGATTATAGAACCCTTTGGGTTTGGTTTTGTTAGACCCCCCAGTCACAAGGCAACTTGAGAGGTATGAACTGAACGCCGGGGCTCAACATTATTATTGTGGTTGTTTGTATTTTTACGAGATCTTCGAGAATGCCGCAGAAAGCAATAAAATCGGCACGGGTATGACGTATCTTGAAAAGTGACATTACGTCGATTTTTTTTTGACATTATATTTGTTGTTCGTGACACTATGTACGTTTCTCTACAATATGTTAATTTAGCACTAGCTGATGGACACTTGTTGTGAATTTGTTTTGTAGTTACACGTGTTGCCTAAACGTCATGATGCTTCAGTTATCAAAGTTTGGCTTGATGTAATGTGAAATATGCTTCAGAGATGGCATAACTGAAGGTCTAAGCTGTCAGTTGTATACTATAGCTAGGAGGAAATGGCAGTCCATAGGTGCATAGTGAGGATTTGTGTGATAACAATATTTGTTGATGATAATTTCAATGGTTTCTTGTCTCAAATACACTTACTTGAGACTCAAAGCTAGAAATTAAATGCCTGTCGACTTTTACTTATTCATTCTGGAAATTACATATGCAAATTTGCTGAATTTCAAAAATGAGAGAGATAGGAAAAGTACATTTCTGGTTGCAAAGCGAACAGGTGAGAAAGTATGCTACAGACAGGAATACTTATAAAAGTGAAAAAGTTTTTACATTATTTAGAGAAAAATTTATTTTGCGATGTCAATAGAAAATACAAATCAGCGCCTAGATGTGAGGCATTGCGAAAATGTTGTGTGATGCGTCATTCCTAATTTTTCAGTGATGTGGCTTGATTGCACACAACGCGGGTGCGATGGTGCTTTCCCGTAATGCTCCTCAAAGTTTTTTATAAACAAAAAATGAAAAAATTCGTGATTTATAACTTGGGACATAGCTTGTTTCCAGAAAGTTCAGCATACAAGTGACCCGTCGGGCACAGCTAATAAATATACTTCATAGGCCGCATAATATTCAGTAATAATTTTCTCACATAGCAAATATCACTGATTTTATACACATGCAGACCAATACACATAATCATCCACATGCGATCTTACTATTCAACCAACTTTCTTCTCAGAGATGAAAGGCACAGACTACTCGGCTTCACAAAACACATGCAACCAACAATGCGTATGGTTGAGCCATTCCTCCATAGCGATCATAGCGAGCTAACGTGAAATGAACTATTTGCACCCCAAAAGCTACCTATTCTACAAGATGACATTTTATTGTTTTTTTTTGACGTCTTATAGTTTATGGGGGATTTGGTGTTAGGTAAGGCGCTTTGTGATACGGACCAGTCAAGGTGTATTAATAATTTTTCATCAAACCCAAAGCGCTGCATTAAAGACAATTATTTTGAAATATTAGCCGTCCATACATAGTAGCGGTCAAGTTGAATATACAATTTATACAGATAAACCATATTTGATCGTTATTTACTCATACATAATGATGAGATCAAATATAAATCCATCCATCCGCCCCTGAAAAAGCTTCTGATTTCTGGGAAGATTGACAAACCAAAATATGTGAATTGACCTAAACATACCTCAGTCCAAAAGTTGATAGTTTGCGAGATCAAAGTTACAATTTTATTTTCAATTTTTCCTTATTGCTTGAGAAGTATTTCAGATTTTGGCATAAAACTCGGTATAGGGGTGTTTTCTTGCATGAGCAACAAAAATTCTTTATTTTTCATTGCGAAACTTCTAGAGGGCACCACTAACAGCACTATTTCGGTAAATAACTTATCATAGCAATCTCATTTTCCCATATTTCCACAACAATAGAGGTTTACTTGTTAGAAGTGTCGAAAGCTAATAGTTTTTAAAAGATCAAATGCATTATTTGTACCATGATGATAATACATTTTTATAACATAATAATCAAGGTACTTTGGATAATATCTGAGTAGTGTTGCTATGGTTTTTAA